CTGACTAAGGTAGAAATTGTGCAAAATCAGCATGAATGTAACAACTTATTGAGGTTGTCTTACAGCTGCTCGGAGGAAGAATAAGTGATAACGCTCCCTGGTGCATTTAGGGTGCAGCAGTCTGTCACTGAAGGAGTGACAGTTCTGCAACGGCTTCATGCATGAGGTTGGATACATTATCCAGCAGAGATGTTAATTTAGTTAGGATCCTTTTGTTTCCCACCTCCTGCACTGAGTTCATAGGGCATCCAATCACAGAGCTGGCCATCCTGATAGGCTTATCCAGCCGCTTTCTCTCAGCCACAGATAAGTCACTGCTTCAACAGACAGCTCCATAGAAGATGGCTGATGCCACAACAGAGACATAGACTGTCTTTAGGAGCGCCCCCTGCACTAAAAAAGACCTCAGTCTCCTCGGCAGGAAAAGTCTGCTCTGATCTTTCTTAAACAGAGCCTCAGTGTTGGGTTGTGAGGTGTGCCTTATTCTAATAAAAGAAAAGAATAAAATATCTTCTCAATGGCTCTGTTCCGTTATCTTTCATATATACAGTGAATCTACATTTAGTTTGGTTGATTTGGGGTCTTTTGTTAAGGACATCTAGACATTTTACCAGATTTGAAGCGTTCTTAATTTTTGTTTTTCTTGTAACTTTAAAATAGAAATGGTCCTCTCCATTTTTTAGATGTCTTTTAAATGCTTCTAGTATCTAGATTGATAGAGGTAGCAGTGTGGGTGGAGATGAAACATCCTTAAAGCCAGGGCTGGTCTAAGGCAATGTGGAAGTGGCTGATTATGGCAAATGGGTGGGCCCAAAGCAAAAAATAACTAAATAAATAAATAAAAAATTATTTTCTTTTCTTTTTCCAAACAGAAATTAATAAATAACCATTTAAGATTGCCTTTGCCAGAAGTAAGTCTGAGAGGAGTGACAGTGAATTGCATTAAAAGTGCCGTAGGAAATCTTGGAAAAACGGGTCCAGCAAGCTATATTTTTTAACATACACAACCATGCTTCTCCATTCAGACCACCCCTCGAAACCACGTCTTCAAACACATGAACACGCATGCTGTCTGTCGAGGTGTTCAGATGAGATCGAGAACGAAACAAGCCAAGACCGAGTGCTCGTGACATGAGCTAACAACAACATAATGCTATGTTCACACCTAAAGCAGCAGAGGCAGCAAAAGCAGCTAGTGTACATGAGAAGTCAATGGTTGACACAAAAGGTCTTGCAGCATGTCTGAGCAGCTGAAGTAGTGCGTCGCTGATCTGGGAGCTGGCAGGGAGACTGGCACAGCACTAATGATCCAGAGCGCTATGATCACTCCTCTGAGACAGTTTATCAACACTTAAATTAACTTGTTCACTTTTATTATCCTGGTGCCTGCAGTTTGGATTACATACATGAAAAACGCCTTCCAGCCGCCGCAGCAAACCGCAAAGAGGCCACCATTGTACGGGGCTCTGAGCTGCTCCGACAGAAATAATATTTGAATATTTTAATCTGGATGAACTGACTGCACTGACGATGTTTTCAGGTGGACTTTCTCACTTCAAAATAGATTCAAACTACTTTTTAGCCACTGATCACAGCAAATATAGCTGCCATTGTTACAGACTAGGAAAGGATAGACTAGCTCCGCCCAACACGCATCACACCCACTTTTCCACATCACAGCTAAAGCAGCAAAGATACTTCAGCCGCGCATCAGAACTAAACTTGAACAAGCATAAAAAATGAAGCAGCACGTATTTGCTGCTCTTGCTGCTTTTGCTGTGAACGTAGCTTAACGGTGGCTAGCTTCCAGCAATGCCGTCCTGGTACGGCATTGTCAAGGTACGTGCACACGGCGAGGAACAAGCAGATGACCCTGATTTATGTGTCAGGAACCAATAGTGTACCGTGTTTTGTGATTGGTGGACGTTTCACACTGTAGCCATAGGCGGATCTACTGGGGTGGCATAGGGTGGCAAATGCCACCCTAAATGACAGCCTTGCCACCCCTGCTGCCACCCCAGTTGGCGGTAGGGGTGGCGAGGCTTATAAATTATGGATCATTTGAGAATTACGACCGCTAATTTCCAATGTCGGACTGCAGTGAATGCAGCACGAGATGACGCGAGAGCGACTGAGACTGATTGTTTTGAAAACCGAATGGGGCAAAGTGAGGGAGCCAGGGGGGATGGGGAGAGGAGACACAGGATGAAACAGGTAAAAACTGATTAACTATCTATCGAGAAATGAAATCATAATGAAAGCACAATGTTGCTAGCATAGCTGCAATGCTGATTTTGAAATGATAAAAATCAGGTTGCAGAACGTTATTTCTCTAACTATGATGTTAGTTAGGCCTGACGTTTCAGGCTCATAAAGACATATTTGCGGTCAACTATGACAGAAAAGAGACTATCAAGTTTGGTTGTACTCAAATCAAAACGCACAAAGGCTTTGGATCTAAATAAAGTTGTGAAGCGTTTTGCTGAGCAACGTGGAAATCACCGCATTCAGCTGTAATAGTCATGTTAGCTTTATGGTCTGCTCTCTGGTGAACCTTTACAGAGCTGTTACATTTTGTTTGGCACCTGAGAAAATCTGATATTTCCTTTATTAAAACCAAAAGTGTTAAAAGTTAAAAATGTGATACTGGTGTGAATGCTGCTTAATATGAAGCAGTGTTGTTGTTTCTTTTTTTGTATATATAGTATGAAACTATCCAGAAATGACCCGTATGAACCTACTCACAAGCAAAATTATTTTTATGTTGCTTCTTTTCAGATTTGTGGAGATTTTGATGTAACATACAGAACCCGCCTTTTTGTTGATTTGTTCATACAGCAGTATGGAGGACCAACTCTGCCATATTTAAAAATACATACAGAAATAAATAAATGCTTAATAAATAAATAGCCATACAATTAATTTCCACCAAAAATACAAACAACAAATAAATGTAAGTAGAAATTAAATTATACAGCTAGTCATAAAGGTATATAACTCTTTTAATTGGCTTCTTTATTTCTTTGCCTTTTTAATATTTACCTTATTTATTTTTTGTCATTTATTATCTTCAACTTCATTTTTTAATTACTTATATTTTTAAGTATTTATTTATGTGCATGTTATCATATTTTTGTCTGTTTTATTCTTCATTTGTATTTTTTTACCCTAGTTATTTCTTCGCCGCTATTTCTTTCTACCTGCCCTTTTTACATTTCTGCCTGCCATTATAATATAATTTCTACTTACATTTATTTGTTGATTGTATTTTTGGTGGCAATTAATTGTATGCTTATCTTTTTATTGAGCATTTATTTATTTCTGTATTTATTTTTAAATATGGCAGAGTTGGTCCTCCATATACAGCTCTATCTACAGCATATTTACATGCATGAAATGTCCCTTTCATTTTGCCTTAATTGCTGTATGTCAAGTTACTGAGGAACAAATGGGGTAAATGTGTGTTCAGAGTAAACATTACATGGATGTCCAGTACCTTGTTCGGGTGCCTTGACCCATTTATTTCTACTTTGTAGTTCTGCTCACTGTAGTACAGCTCAGTCCATAGATCTCTGATGGGAAACTTTTTCTTTCTATAGTTTCTTCTTGTGCAAATGCTGCAAAGCTGCCTCTCTGACAGTCAATCTCACACATCTGCACCTCAGCACCTGTGTCTTACCTTAATACCTTTCCTTACATAATGCCCCTCTAGAAGTAGTGTTATCATTCTTCTATCTCCTATTAATTGAGATCACATTGTATGATGTATTATTAATATGAACTGTTTCACATGAAACACCAAACTGTGATAACTGTGATTAAATTCAGTGTAAACAAATGCCATATGTTGCCACCCCTAAAAAATTCCTGCCCCCCTCTTGCCACCCCATAAATTTTTTCTAGATCCGCCCCTGACTGTAGCGGGGACCATTTATTTTAGTTTAATTTCCAGACCTTCTATTTCGCTGCTTGCTATGCGGCTGTGGGGAGATCTTCAAGCCACATGGTAAAAAATGCATCAGAAAAGATCTTTACTGCAGCTTAACAACGAAGATGACCATCAGATTTCTGATTTCACATAGTGAATTTGCAGTCAGAAAGATAAGAAGCACGTTTTAAGGAACAAGTGAAATATTAAGGAAAAACTGTAACATAATAAGGCCAAGTGTGTTGCTAAACGTTTTTTTTTTTGTTTTTTTTTTGATATAGTTAGATATTCCTACTTTTATGAACTAAATAATGATTTTTAAACAGTTTTTAACCTGGTTTCCCCTAACTTTGTAGTAGAATCAATGAGTACTTTTTTATTATTTGTTGTTTTGCTTTTGTTATTTTGCAACACTGATCATTTTTTGCATGTTGCTGTTGCAGCTTTTTGAAACCAGATTTTGAAATACCACACTAGTTTATTTTATGATGTAGAGAATGGGAGAAATAAAACAGCTTTGCTTTTATGAGAATATTTATCCAAATCTGGAAAACACTTTTAAATCTGTCTTTTTCCAGTCAGCATAGGGACCTGTTCCTTCGCACTTAGTTAAATTAAAAATGGTCCCGTTACCTTGGCTATAAAGCGGAAATTAAAACTTTTTATGAACCTTTTTAATTAATTTTAATTTATTACTGATCTCTTTGACATTATACATGTCTACAGTCGATAAAATTAGAGATAAATTAGTTGTTTTTTTTTCTTTCTCGAAATCATTCCAATATAATCATTAAACTTTTTTATTTAAGCATTTTGTTTATAATAGGTTTGGTTTGATTTTCCTTCTTTAGGTGCATAGATGTATTAGCCACTTTGTCTATTTCTAAAATAAAAAAGGTATTTTAATATTTCTTAATTTTTTGAGGGTAGGGAAAATGTGAAATGCAGGTAAATATACCGCCATAAAGACTCTTCTGATTTGCTGGCTGCGTGAGCGGAAGCGCGCGCACAGGGCGCGCCTCTTACGCAGGTGTGTCGGAGTTTGACGGTGAGTTTGGAGGGATTTGGTTCAGCGTCTGAAAGCTGTTCACTGCATTGATGTTTCCAAGTGTTTTCAAACAATAACCTGTTTTCCAGGAGCTCTGGTCGGCGATGAATAAAGCCCACAAGCATGGAAGAGGTAAATCCGAAAGCTTTAAGAGAAAAAAATTTTTTATTTTGGTATAATTTCTGGGATATCAAAACCACAATTAACCTGCCTAATCTACGTAAGAGGATTAGGGCCACTGGGAAAAAAAAAAAAGTTAACTGATTTTTAAGGTTGTTTTTTTTTCTTCAGTATAATATGAGAAAAAAACTCTGATTCTGAATTTTTTTCTGAATTCTGACCTTTTTCCCATATTAAACTGAAATATTTAAAAATCTGTTAACTTTTTATTATTCAGTGGCCCTAAGCCTCTTCTGTATTAACCTGTTCTAATTGAGTTTAACTAATACTGAGAATCCCATACATTATAATTGTTTGGTTACTAGGGTTCTAAAACAATAATGGATGCATTTTCCAGACACTGTTTTTATTAATGATTTTTTTTTTAAGTAGCTAAATATAGTGAATATATATATATATATATATATATATATATATATATAGTTCTCAGTGGCCAAAAATGTCCAACTGAAAATGCAGATCTGATTTAACATTAATCTTTACGCAAAAATATAAATTTCCTTTATTTTAGTTTTTATATTTATAGTGCTACTTTATTGTATAGATTTGTCTACATTTCATGTGGTAATATGGGAAGTGTGCTTTTACGTTAAAATTTTTATTTTATATTTTTTTTTTATTATTATTATTGTAGGTTAAATGATTATCCTATTTAAAATGTCTTTTTAAAAATCTGGCATTAAGTTTGTTTGTGCTTTTCCTCATTTTAAAATGCAAAATAAACAACAAAATAAGCAATATTGATGCATCCATGTTTTCACTAATTTCAGAACTCATTTCAAAACTCAATGATAAAATATTTAAATATGGGGAAATGTATAAAATATTTTTTCTACAGATTTTAAGAAACAAATAAATGTTTATTCAACCTCCAGCTATAATTTTTTTGTGTCTGAACATTTAAAACATCTCTAAAATGTTTTAAATGGGACTAAACTGTTTAAGTGAAAAAACTTCTGTAAGATTTTGATTTTAGCTCGTCAACTTTTCAAATTATTTAAGCTTAAATTCTATGCTGTGGTAATTTAGAATCCTGAATTTTCCAACTTTATGTAAGTAACGTAGAAAATGTCATAAACTACAAATCATAAACTTTTCACTTAAGAATCATGCTTCTTATCTAGAGCTTATTAACTCTTATTTCTTATTTCAATTTGTTATCTGTAGTTTTAGCTACCCTTTTTTTTTTCGGGACAGGGAAAATTTGAGTTTCAAACCGCCAACCTTTGCAGAAGCTCAAAGAACCAAACGCTCTCCTCTCTAAACAAAAGACCTGCTCCTGTGACTTTAGACTTGAATATGAGATAAATAAGAAGCTTTCTTCTCATGGTGTAGAAAGTACAATGTTTTTTGTTTTTTTTTGTCAGACTCTCATTTAACAACAATTTATGTTATTATAAAATCCAAAAGTAATTTTTCCTGCATTTCACAAAAAAAAAACAGCTAAAAGAGCAGAACTTTCCCCTGTTGAAATAACCTACAACTTAAAGGTCTATATACTGGGAACTTAATCATTAATTTCAAAAACGACAACTACGTTGGTTTTCTGAACTGTCTAAAATAAGTTTCCCTACAGTTAACTCTTACTTTTTCAATTTTATGCAACAAAATATATTTTCTACACAAAAAGCAAATTTTTTTGTTTGTTTTTTGTATTTTCACAGTGTGGTAAGTTACAAGTATGGCTTTAATAATTCAACATCAGCCAAACAGAAACAAAATGTCAATAATCATCTCTTTCCTAACTATTTCCCTTTTTTTTCTTTTTGAAAGGAAGGTCAAATTAACTTCAAAGCAATAAGGGCAAAATTTCAGGAGGAGGGTTTCTTGGCTCATTCAAAAAACGGTCGACCAGCAGTTGCTGAAAAACCCAAACTCCTTCAACCGCATTTAGGACACTCCAGCTCTATGGTCAGCGGTACTGCCATGGCTGTGGAAAACCAGACTCCCGAGGTTCCCCGTGTCCTCTTCAGGGATGGGCATTGGTCATCCGGAGGCAGGCGGCCCATTCCCTTTCCACCTCACCCTAGGCCGACATCTCCTTCATCACAGCTTGCAAATGGAGAAAACTCATCGAAGCATTCCTTCAAAGACCGACACATGCCTCCTATGCTCCCTGTCCTCACTGTTAAAGATCATAAGGTGGATCCACCTGCAGGAAAGGAGCACAAACTGGAATCAGAGACAGAAAGAGGAGTTTTCCCACATGCTAAGATCAAGAAAAAGGGTTTGTTGCTTCCTTTCAAATCAGCCAAGGCATCCAAGCACTCAGCCGATAATGGAGATGATCCCACATATGACGATTTAAGCTACAGGCCTGGTAGTGCTACCAGTGAATTGTGCACGAAGGAAAAACGGATCACCGAAGAACAGGGTTCCCTCCAAAGTGATCCCTCTGATTACAGTCCTGAATCCGCCGTCACCTCTCCTCCACCAGCAACCTACCCTGATTCTGAAAACAGGATTCTGAGCACACTGGAGAAGGCCAAAAAAAAGCTTTCGAGGCGTCAGATTATGATTCCCTCTAAACCCAAAAGTTTGCCCTCACCTGACTACAGCTGTAGAGGGAAGACCTTCCCTTTGTCTCCAAGGAATCCCGACGGCGTCGGTTCAGATGTCCTCCTAGCTCCACCCGTATGCCTTCCACACTTTGCCTGTATTTCCGCTCGACCTTTCTTCAAAGCAAACAACTCCGCTCGTAGTATGTTATTCATATGAAATATTTCATTCTGATTTTTTTAATTTGATGTGGGTATTTGAATAACTTGCCATGTATGTTTTTCTTCTTCCAAAGAGCCAACTTTAGAGAAACTTCTTGTAGTGAAACCCGAACAACTGCCACTGAGGTCTGTTGAAGCTTGTTCCCCCCAGATTCCCTTAAAGAAGCAGCTACCTGAGATGTGGACACTTGGAGCCGCTCCAGTAAAGCCAACCAGACCTCCAACAGTTGATCTGAGCTCTTACCATCCAGGCCAATTTAAAGGTAAAACCTGCTGTATTTGACTTCAGAGCCAGTGTGGTCTTCTTTACCTCACTCTAAGCCTTGTCCTAACCTCTGTGGATCTCAAAAGTCTTCTTTTAGCTAAATAAATTTCTTTTAATTTCTCTTTTTTTTTCTAGAAGTATCACCTGTTTGGTGCCAAACACCAAAAAACGAGGAATTCTCTGTGCTGGATGCTCCGGATTTTCCAGACTTTGAGACTTCAGAGTTGGAAACACCAGAGGGCGAACCCGTTGACGTGGCTGCATTAGAAATTGAAGCCTTAAACATAGTTGTTGGTAATCTTACAACACCCCTCAGATTTGAGGTTCCAGATTATGTGGCTCCAGACTGTGCCTCGTCAGTTTGGGATCCAGTAGAGACCAATAGGAGCCATGTGGACCAAGATCTAAACCTTGGCAGCCCACACATAATACCCCTTGATCCAGCAAGCTTTCCTGAACCAGTAAACCTACCAGAGTTTCCAGAGCTGCCTCTACCAGAGCCCCCGTCCTACAGCGAAGAGGCAGCTGTAGATGCGAATCTCAATTCTGGCTTTGCTGCGTCTGATGTGGGTGCTGCTGAGAAACTGTCTATCCAAGAGGAACCTGAGCTTGTAGACCATCCAGCATCAGGCTATGAAACTCAAACCCAACCAAGGTACTGTAGGAACCTGGAACAAATGGGTCATGTTCATATGCAGCTGCAGGTTATTATTCACACATCTGGATCGTTTGTTTTCTAGCAAACCTCACCAGAACAGCTACTATGAAACGTGTGATAACCTTTATGAAGATGTTGAGATCAAGAAGCTCCTTGAAAGCCAGATATCGGCGAAACAAAAAAGCAGACTGAAGAGTTAAGTTTGTCTGTTTTTTTTTCTTTGTTTAATATTAAAAGCTGCTACAGTATTGGTGTAATTTAATTATCTCCTTTCCTCCAGATCCATACGCTAACAGGAACTCAAAGGTAAGCTATCTTGACCTTTTATTAATGTAAAATACTGATGCAATTGGATACATTTAAATTGCATCAGTGAAGTTATTCATACATCCTAATGATCTCTATTTTGTTTCTGATCAAAACGACATATTTTTGAATAAATAAGAGAGATTCTGTGTGAAAAACCAACAGAAAGAAGTGGATGTCTGTGAGATTGATTCATTCATTTTGATGGTGTTAAAAGTTTCTCAGGGAGGCTGAAGAATGGACCACACTGCAACATTTTATAATTCTCAGATGATTATTTTTAGACACCACAATTGATCATAAAAAAATGGGGATAGAGCAGTTTTGGTTGTACAGCGTGTTCAAACAAATCAGAGCACAGACACTCAGAACATAAAGGTATCAGACAGGAAATCTCACCGAACATCTAGAGATGCATACATCTATATATGCGAATTAAAAGTTTATACTGTTTTTGCTGCTGAAGGGTCTGTGTACAGATTAGAGTCCCACAGTAAACCTTACGCAAGAGGTAGAAAATCATTATTTTACTTGTGTATGGGTAAAAAAGTTAATTATCAGCTCAACATTTTAAAGCTGAAGTCTGTAAGTTTTTAAAAATCACTTTTTTGTCATATTGGCTAAAACTGTCCCTATGCCCAGACAGCAGTACATGTAATATGTAACCTGTGGAAAAAAACTGCTTCAATTGGTCCCGCCTACTGCCTGTATTGCAATCTAAAAAGAATATTTCGGGACGAGACAAAACAACCAATCACAGCCAGAGGAGCGTCTGATGGAGTGTCAATCACAGCTCACACATGCTGAATCCCGCCCCCTGCCGCTGCAGTCAGCAGGACGCACGTGGAAGTCATGGCGGAGCGACAGCCATCAGCGAAAGAGAAACTGCCCTTACTGCCTCTGCCGACAACTGCTTACACGGCAAAGACTTCAAAAAAGAAGATGTCAATGGAAGAGCTGCCGCGTACGCTGCTTGGACGCTTCTGGTCGCATGCGGTAGCCGTGCAGATGCTGTGAGAGGGGTGGAGCTTGGAGGTGGGGCATGAGTGAAGCAGAGAGGGTGGGGGAGTGGCGTGAAACCTGTTTTTCTTCAAATTTTCAGTCGAAGTCTGCTCTCTTCTCAATGTAACAGACTGCAGCTTTAATGAGCAAATTCTTCAAGTACGATAAGATGTTTTGTTTTTTTTATTATGTAGCCTACACTGCATTGAAAACATGACGCCACAAAGAATAGAATAACGAATCTAGGCAATCAATATGTTGCCCTCTTGATCTTCCAACCTCTAGGAAAGAGAAAATCTGGGCAGAAATCTGCTCGATTATCTTATGTGAATCTCCCTTCCAGTTTAAATCTCTTTCAGCTTTAAACAGGCATCAATCACACAACCTGTAGTAATGCTGTACAATGTATATAAAATATTTTTATATTGCATATGAGGATTTGAACTGTTTTAACTGGTGGTTAATATATTCAAAATTTTATGATTTTTTTGTTTTCCATGCAAGTGAACTATTTAGTCTGGTGGACAGAATCTCACAGCAGCAGAGCCTCCATCCAGAAATATGACAGAGAGCCTAAATGCTAAAGCTCACAAAGTGGAGGAACAAGGGATGGGAAAAGTAGAAACAAGTGTATGGTGCAATTGTGCTATGTACCAATATTACTCCTGTCCCAATATTCTGTAAAGTAGTTCAGATCTACCTGCCTTGTATTTAGCTCCATCCATCTTCCCATCGTCTCCAACCTTTTCCCCGAAAAGTTTCCCTGCTGCATGATCCTAGCACTGTTGGATGGATGCTGATGTGTAGTGTCAATTTTAGATTTTTTTTCTTATTGCAGCATATTTTTTCAAACATTTGCTGTTTCCCCTTCAAACATGGTGGCGAATTATCCATATATTATATATATGTAATGACGGTTGTTCTTAACCTCTTTCCAGCAAAGGTCCGCTTTATCAAGGGCATGATAACTTGTTTTCCTGCAAAAAGTTCCTCCCTTTTCAGTGCATCTCCATAATATTTGCTTTTTCATAAACCCGAGACATACCAGCATTGTTTATATTTACTGCTTGTTAGAATGCAACCATTTTAATTAGAGGTCTATTACATTTTTTTTTTCTTTCACACTTTTGTATTGCTTGTCTAAAAGTGTATAAAATCCATAAGTTATGAGTTATGTTGCTCTGATGCCATATATGGAAAATGTTCTGATGGGAATGTTTTCAGTATGGGGGGGGCTACATGCATGTTAACTCCTGTGCTCGTTTCCAGAAGGGGGAAGCATGTCTTCACAAACGGCCGCGGCATCCATGGTATGTGTACGCTTGATTTAAAAAAAAAATATTTTTTTGGGTTCATCTAATCTTATTTATAAGTAGATAGCTTTTTTTTTTTTATGTTTCCCAGACATTTTATTTAACACAGGACGTTGCAAAGCGATCTTGAGAACTGCAGCTCGCCCATCCCACCTGTTGTCATGTGTTTTTGGTATTAAAGAGAATGACACTTTTCTTTTTTTCTTTTCTTTTTTTTAGGCAAAACACGAGCCCCAACACTGCAGATCATAAAGACCAGAGGAAGAGGGAGAAACAGCGACTTGAAAAGGAGAGAAAGGAGCAAAAAGAGAGGGAGAAGAAAGAAAATGAAATGAAAAAAAAGTTCAAAGTAAGGAATACAATTCTGGAAAAGCTTCTTTGAAACCTTCTTTATTTGAATGAAAAAACAAAACAACTTTGAACATCTGGATGAATATAGATTTATTTAAAACTCTAAGCGGTGATATATTTTATTTCCTTGCCGTCTGTGAAGGTGACCGGGCAGGAGGAGGCGATGTACCACGCTAAGGTCACCGGGGCCAGTAAAGTCCGGAAGAACGACCTGCCGGTGAAAAGCGGGGACACGGTCAGCATAATCCGAACCACCAACTGCCCTAAAGGCAAATGGTTGGCTCGGGATTCCAACAACAAGTGTAGGTTAAATCCTTTTATTTTTGAATGAATAATCCACTTGCATTATGTGTTGAGGTAATGAGCTTGTGCCATACAGTAGCATAAATATCTTTCCTTCTCTTTGATTTAAGCCGAATTTACCACATTGTCTGTATCTGTTGCCCCCCCTCTACATCGTAGACGGTTATATTTCAGTGATGAATGTTGAGCTGAATATCAAGGACATGCTGGAACTCGGCAAAAAGGCTCAAGCAGCTGGACGAGGAGCCTATGTGGAGCCTGACACCATCAGCATCGGAAGCAGGTACTTCAAAAAAAGATTAATAGTATCAAAACTCCATATGTGAAATAAGCCATGACATTTTTGGTTTCTGTTTTCCAGATCCTCCAACCCCCCTCTTCTGACAAGCAGCTGTAAGTGTCCAAAGCCTCTGTGTGAGTCCTTTTCAACCTGTCTGTTACATTTCAATCATTCACTTGGTAAAAAACACGGAATGGTCCAGAAAAGGTTTGCACTTGTTGATGGACAAAGCATCAAGTCAGTCGCTCGCCATCTGCTTTAAAGCTGTGTTATTTTACTGCTGAGGAGGAATTCAGTGCAAGCTAAGGCTGCTAAACATCTCTCATCAGCAGACATGCTGACTTTAATCACTGCAGTTTGTTTTTCTGCAGTCACAGATGACAGCGAGGAGTGGGCCTGTGAGGATGAAGTTCTTTCAGCATCCTATGAAAGCCAGTAAGATATTTATTGTTGCTAGTCAGCCCCATAAAACCCTTTGTGATGTCCTATAGTCAAATTTTTGTTTTCCTTTTGTCTTTCATGTGCAAATAGTCGTTTCTCCACTTTTTTTACTGCAGGATTGCTCAGCAGACAGTTTCAGAGCCAGAAATATGTAAGTATATGATTATTTTGATGAAATACTAAATCCAGTCCTCCTATTTAAAGGAAAGGATAGACTCTCTGTTATGTTTGAGCATTCGGTTGAAGTGATTGTGCTTGAATCCGGAGGCTGCGTCCTCCGAAGGCCAGATTAGTCAGCTGATACGACATAGTGCGTTGCCGGGGCCTGTTAGGATGCAAAGACTGCTTCGTAAGCGGCCGACAAATGCAACCTTCTTTTCTAGATAAAAAGGAGAGGACCGCTGTATCGTCCTAAGTCTTGGGTGTTTCCTGTTTATGTATTAGATCATAAAAAGTAACGTCACTTTGCCTAGTAACTAGGTGCTTTGATTGTGCAGTTATTTTTGGGAGAAATTACTATAACTAGTGACTTTTTTTTTTTTTTTTTATAACCTTTCCAACACTGCCTCTAACCTAGTTTTTTAAGCCACACTTACACTGTATGATTTTTTTTTTATTTTTTTTTTTGCCCTTTTCAGGCCGATTCTTCAGTCGTGTGAAAATGTTTTGATCAGGCCGTCAGCCTGATCGTGCGTCATGTAGTGTACGGGGGTAACGAGGGCCGATCAGCCTCTCATGACGCACCTCCTGATTAGGAATCGTAAGGTCGGGAGAAAATCAAACGTTTGAAATTCAGTCGGCCGTCGTAAGGTCACATCAGAGCGTCGGGCGTCACAGGTTGACAACAGGCATCGTTAGCTGTGAACATTAAAACCCTGTGATTTTGTTGTACATTTTGAGTTGCATCTGTGTGCAACGTTTGAAAAAATTGTACATTGTATGCCCGGCTTTATGCAGTAATTATGTTGACTTTTATCCTGACAAAAAGGTATCTCTGCTTCTGCTAAAACATTAGAATTTATACCTTAGAGCATCGTACCATGGTTGGGAAAAACTGTCCAACATTCATTACATTTAACAACCTTGGTATTTTTAGGGTTGAACAAGTATAATTATTATAAGTATAAGTATGATTATTTCTAATAATGATTAGTTTAAACTGACCTTTTTGCTTGAGTCCTGCTAGCTTTGGATGGCTTACCTCTTTCCTCTGTCTCATACATGTCTCCTTTGTGTTGTGACTTTATCAGCATGCGTTCATGTGGAAGGACAGCATACCCTCAGTGACAGTAACCTGGAAGACCAGCACACACAGTAAGTCCCAAATACACCCCGCAACAGCTGAGAAAGCAGAGCTTTTTATGCAACTTACGGGTTAACAGTTAAGGCTTTAGAGAAGGGATCCATCCATATAAACTCACTGGTCCTTATATGGTCATGTGGACGCTGGTCTCTATCTCCAGCCCAGTGACTGCTGAAGACAGGCATCAACAGGAAACCACAATTTAGGGAGAGCAGATATATTAACAGTCATGTTTTTGGAAAGAAGAAACTGGAGTACCCAGTGAGAACCCACACATGTGTGCGGAGAACATGCAAACTTTATGGGGGAAGAACAAAGGTCTGGATTTGAACCCAGGACCACCTTCCTGAAAGGCAACAGTGCCTTAAAAAGTAAATATACGTCTATGTTGATTGTATTACAACTTAAAGTTTAGTGTTCTGCACTATTAATGGAAAATGCAAAGAAAAAGTAGACAATAATTGTGAAGTGGAAGAACAATGAAACACCGTTCTTATTTTTTATTTTTTTTATCAAGATTTAGGGTATTGACATGTATCCTAATGCCTCTGTACTCTGACACTCCTAGAACATTTCCACAGGCTTCAAACATTAGCTAATTAGTCAAAGCAGAACCTCTGTTATACAGAAGTTATGTGAAGAACATCAGAGGCCAAACGGCAGAGTGAAGCCATGGAAACAGCAGTTTAAGGAGCAGCTGCAGATATCCATAGATTAGGTAGGAGAATCTACTGAGAGGACAATCACTAGTTATGCACACCACTAATCTGGCCTTTGTGGAACAGTGGCAAGGGCAAAATAAGGATAAAGATGGCCACAGGCTATGTTGGGGACAAAGGAAACATGGGGAAGAAGATGCCCTGATTAGAGGAGGTTGAAGATATATTAGTAGCATTGATATTAAAGCTGGTTGTGGCAGCACAGTCCTGTAGGACATAAGAGTTGAATCTAAATTTAAATACTTGACAAGAATTACGAACTGAAGTTCCCAGACTCTCTGTCCAGTCTGGGTGAACTTGAAATGAAATGGAATTTCTACTTTTGGTCAAACTGAGAAGGAAAAATACTGTAAATTACATAGAAAATCAAACCCATAGGCAACTGTATGGAGTGATGTTTTTTTAATTATTATTTTTGCAAGCAAAGAACGAGTTCTGTAAATTTAAATTTGGAAAAAAAAAATGCCATTCAGAAATTAAACTTAGAAAAACTTTTTATTCACACACAGAACTTCTTAAATTCTCTTCAAATCAGGCACAATAAAGATGCTCAATGACCAAACAACACTGTTACCAACATCCATGGAAACCAATAGAAATGTTTTCACTCCTCACTCCAGGGGAAAACCCAACACCCGAAGTGAAGAGGATGTGATCTATGAAATGAAATTTGAAGAAAAAATAAGTTTGAAATATTTTGATACGATAGCATTTTGGAAAAAACTATAACATAGAAAAAAATCTGAAAAGTGTAAAAAATAAGAATAAAAAAAATGAAAAAGTAAAATAATTTGAAAAATAAAATCTGAGATAACAGCAGTTACTTAAAACATTTTTTTTTTTCGATTTTTATCTCGGGTTAGTTTTTTTTTTTTCTTATAATTTACAAATTATTTTCTTTGTTTGCAACAATAATGGAAAAAATCATTCCATACAACATATAGTTATTTCTTAAAAAACAATTGAACATGGTTCAAAAGATGATGTCTAGAATGCTGGGAGATTAGTTTTCTAATAATTGAAATGTTAACTCTAGAAAATAAACATAAATATACCATGAAAACATCTCACTTAAGAAATGTATTAAAAAATAAACAATTGCAAATTCTCCCAGGTGTGGTTTGTGGGGTTCATGATCTGGATCCTCAGACGCTGTAGAAAGGAGATGGGCTGTGTGGTTTGGAACTAGCAGCATGTCTTCTCTTCGCTGTTTGCAGATGATTTGGTTCTAAAAGCATCTTCAGACCTTGACGTTCATTTTGCGATGGGGTGGTTTGCAGCAGAGTGTAAAAAGGCAATTGGAAAGTATTAGTCAGCTCCTCTAAGTCTGAGGACCTGATTTTCAATTGGAAAAAGGGAGTGGCTCCCTCCAGGCTGGGCTCACCCCCTACCTCAAGTGGAGGAGTAAGAATTATCTTGGTGGTATGTCGTTCTTAAGCGATGATAGGATGGAGTTTAAGATTGATGGACTGACTGGAGCCTCATCTGCTGTGAAGTAGGCAACAAGTGTTCCAACCCTAACCCCAAATCCTGGATCCAAACCAGAAAAGCTGATAAAGGATGCATTTTATCTGAAATCAGTTTTGTCTTGGTGTAAATCGACAATTTAAACCCGCAAACTCAAAGAAAGGAGATACATTTAACAGCTCGGCATTAGCTGAAACAAAGAATCTGCACCTGAATTTTCCTTAAAGAAACTGCTGTTGGAAAAACAAAAAATTCTAGTGAATGTTGGATTTTTGGTTAAAAATATTGAAATTAAATTGAAAATACGAATATTGTAGTTTCAAAAATTAAAGGAACAAATGTAAAGAATACTTTTTTTGTTTTGTTTTAGATCATAAACAAATTAAATTATATTTAAAAAGACATATAAACAAAGTGCTGCTTGTTCACGTTTCTGGACCAGAGCTGGCTACTAGTCGTATTTTTGTGCCATGGGGGAGAGATGTTTGGGGCTCTGCTCAAAGAAGATTTAAGACAAAATTTTAAACCTTTGGCTGTAGACATTTCTGGAAAAACAGGGCCCGTCATCCATATTCTCAGCATAGTTATCATAAGGCACGGAGGGGAACATGAGGATACAAAATAAAACAAATTGCCCGAAGTTTTCTTATGGACTTATGTTTTTATTGCCAATATCATTCTGATTCCTTCTCCTGACATGATTTCTTAATGTTTCTTTCTTCTACTTATCTCATGTCCGCCAAATCAAGTTTTTGCATGATTACAAATTCCTCTCTGTATCTAGACACTTTAGCATTATCAAGTGTTAAAAAGGCGGCCGGTCAATAAAACCTTTCATGAACAAAGAGCACACTTCAGTTACACTGATTATTTTGCAGCTTTAGGCATTTTGCTCACTTTAAATTTATATTTCCCTATACACCCAAAATGAGAAATGCTTTGCATTCGATTTTAAATTTAGTATTTTTAAAACAAATCCCAAATGGGGACTTCGCTTGTTTGTTTCTAACAGGAAAATCAAAGAACCAATAGATAACCAGTGCCTTAAAGTCGTAGGGAAGCAGCTGTTCCAACCGTTGCATTTCTGAATTCTCCCGAGTGGTGCACGACTTTACCCATGTGAATGTGATTGGTCGTTTATCAAGGGGGCGGGAGGAAGGTTCACAAGCCTTTTTGGTTGTGGCTGGTTTGTCGGAAGCACCTTGCTAACCAGTTAGCAACTTAGTGCCAGTAGGTTCCCAATGGGAAATTCCATTTGGACCAAGTAGCACTAAATTGGTGACTTAGAAACGGCACTGTCAAGGAACACTATGGACAGCGTAAATATGCAAGAGAAGGAGAGTTTTGTCCCAGAGGTCGTGGGTGAGTGTCCTCTGTCATACATTTTTTATTTAGAGTAGGAAAGTGGGGACGAATTTGTTGTGGAAGAGGACGCCAGGGCGGCAGAAGCTTGGTTTGGTGTCGAAGGCTTACAACTCTACATGTCTGACCCCTTGCCTCGCAACGCTGGCAGTTCTGTTAGCTCTACACCTGCAGAAGACACAGACCTCCATCCCCGTAAACAGTGGGAAGAAATTCAGTCGTAAAGCAGATGATTCTTATTTCAACCGTTGCGTATATTAGCTGCGACATATGAATGAAGATGCTTTGACAGATGACCGTTGATATATGATTGGCCCAATTTAGGTGTACAAGCTGACATATAACTAACTGGCCTGCATAAATAGCAAAAAAAATAAACAGATTTTAAGATAGGAGTTGTTGTTTTTTTAAATAGAAATGTTCTAACTTTTGGTACAATATGGTCTGAAAAGTTATGGAGAGGATCCAGTGCACACATTTGTTCCTCCCGTCCAGCAGGTCAAAAAGATGCAACTCAGAACTATGTCCCTGCTTTTTACAGGACCGGCCAAGAAGCTCTGCAGAAACTGGCCTTGCTGTTTCAACAAAGCAATGATGAGTTTGGTGATGGAGGAGCAGCTTCTATCAAGTACAGTTCCTCTTACACAGCTCTGCCAACAGTACGCAGTGTCTCCTTCTGCTTTTAACGTTTGCTTCTTCTCTCTGTGTCTTGTTTAAAGTTCGGACACGTCAAGTAAGTTGACAGTTTAATGTTGACCCTGACTCTGTTGACGTCACAGCCTCTCTCTCTCTCTCACTGATAATGGGGAAGCTAAAAGAAGGGCACTCACAGATCACCTTGGGGGCCTCTACAGTCTAAACACCACTTGGTGACTTCTGGCGTAATGGAAAACAAACTGGCCTTTTTATCTCCAGTAACTCGGAGACAAGCCGGTTTTGCATATTTTCCAGACAGCAGTTCAAAGTTGATGTGACGTGTATCTGCTTGTCTTTATCTAGGCTTGTTGTGTGCGGTTGAGGAGCCTCCGTACCCGTAAGTCTTGTTTCCGTCTAATCAGAGGGAGAAGCTGGGCTCTCTTTGATCACTGTTTGTGCTAGCCGAGCGGAGAAGCCTACTCGCTGTACTTAAAGCATCCTTCATCCAAGCTAATGCATCCTGTTTGGGTTTTTTTTTCTGTTGCAGCGAACAGCAGATTGACTTCACAGAGGTGGAGTTCCTCCCTCCTCCTCCTCTGTACGCCGACACCACCTGATCTACGGGAGCTGCAGGACGGCCTTTCCATAATTAACATTAGATGAACTTTGGTATCTCTTTGATTTAACTTAGCCAGAATTGCAATTTTCACCAGAGGTTTTCACTCACTTTCCATCACTTTTTAATTTTCTTTAGATTCTATAAACTGATGATAAACACAGTTATTGCACAGGAGTGGGTAGAAATAAACAGTTTTTTTATGTATGTCTTTATTTTTTGCAGCTGCTTTAAGTGTTAAAGATTTTTCTTTCAGTTTCTGTTTCCTTGTTACATCAAATAAAGACATTCTTTCTCATTTGGAAACAGTTTTTTTTTTAATGGGAAAAAAGTGCTTTCTCTGTCATTATTAATTCAAAGTGGGAGTAAGTATTCAATCCTACTCTGGAACTTCAAAAACACAAAGGCTGTCTTAACCCTCTGGCTGACTAAACTCTGTGAAATCCCCTCATGATGATGCTGTGTTTTCTCTAGCCAGGGACAGAGCTAGATTGGGGGGCAATCTATGGCCACCCCTACCATTTATTTCTCTCTAATACAGATGGTGGCAACAGTAATACTCTCAAGTGGGATATAAAAAAAAAAAAAATTTCGTATATTAAGAATGACTTGACAACAAAAACAATGTGGCTTATTATGAACATCAATATACTAACATTAAAGAGAAGTACAGAATATAAGCAGAAATACATTTGGTTTTTTATGGAGTAAAGAGAAAAAGAAGTGTTTTGGAAATCAATTAGGAGTCTTCAGTGAAATAACTATTTTATGTAGATATTAGTAATCTTAAATATTGATTTTATGCAGAATGGTTACTGATAAAAGTAGGTAAGTAATGACATGGAAAAAGCTCAAACCTGTGTCAAGTAACCAAGTACAAATACTTCGTTACTGTACTTAACTACACTTTTTAGGTATCTATGCTTTACTCCATGACTTATTTTTCTTCCTACTTCTGACTTCTACTCATTACATTTTCACACAAGTATCTCTACTTTCTATTCCTTAAATTTTTAAAACAAACGTTACTCATTACTCTTGGCTTCAGTTTAATGTTTACAAATATTTATTTACCGTCATGTGCGCCATCCACATCTAGTGAAAACTAGTGTAATTGGATGAGTCATAGAACACAGTCATCAGTTAGATATTCCTCAAATTTATGACGCCAAAGGAAATAATCAGAAGCAAGCAGGTGTTCTTTAAACTGCAAACTTGAATTGTCTATGCCATGCTGTAATGTTGGATTCAGAAAAAGATGCTAAAAAGGTCGGACACAGGTCAATCGGGAGATGGAGACCAACAAGACCTCCCTCATCCTTGGCCCTACCTCAAAGAATTTTTCAAAGTACTCAAAAAATTGAGCTGTCAATTCACATAGTGGCATCTGGCTGTTTTTTTTTTTTTCTTAATTACTTTTTACTTTTATACTTTAAGTAGTTTTTGGAGCACATACTTTTTCACTTTTACTTGAGTAAAGAGGTCAAGTTGATACTTCAACTGTTACCATAGTGTTTTTAAACTGCAGTATCTAAACTACTACTTAAAGGAATAGTACACCCAAAACATGATTAGCCTTCATTTTCTACTCACCCCCATGCTGAATAACACTCTGGAGTACTTTTTTGATATCTCAAATGCATCTGGAGATCTGGGAGGCTTCTTGCTGTCTGCTGACATTCAAATAATGGAGGTCTATGGTGCCCGAGACAGAAAGGTCCATAAAAGTCCACAAAAAACGTGTCAATATTCCTCCATACTGCTCGTCCAATGTATTCCAAGTGTCCTGAGTGGGTAGCGTCCATAATTTACTCGTTTTTATGTTTTTAGAGCATAAACAGTAGTGTATAGGATTTCCTAAAAGCGCGTTCACGAGTCTACGGAAACCGCGGCAGACCAAACAAGATGAAAGTGCGCATTCAGCGTCTGCTCTGCCGATAATGCAAGCGTAGAAGAAGAAATGTGCTGTTTACCTGTGCAAAGAAAGAAACAACGAAAGAAAAATGTCTGAGGACTTCAGTGTTGAGGAAGAGCATGAGTTATTTGCCGAGCTGAATGCGCACTTTCATCTGGTTTGGTCTGCCGCGGTTTCCGTAGACTCGTGAACGCGCTTTTAGGAAATCCTATACACTACTGTTTATGCTTTAAAAACATTCTAAATGACTTTGTTTCGAGTAAATTCTGGATGCTACCCACTCAGGACACTTGGAATACATTGGAGGAGCAGTATGGAGGAATATTGACACGTTTTTTGTGGACTTTTCTGCCTTGGGAACCATAGACCTCCATTATTTGAATGTCAGCAGACAGCAAGAAGCCTCCCAGATCTCCAGATGCATTTGAGATATCAAAAAAGTACTCCAGAGTGTTGTTCAGCATGGGGGTGAGTAGAAAATGAAGGCTAATCATGTTTTGAGTGTACTATTCCTTTAAGTAACAAATGTGTGGACTTTTGACACCACTACCCCTCAGTACATTGGTTATTGCCTGGCCACCCTCATACATTTTTTATGGCTACGCCTCTGGCTCCAGCATCCGTTTGCAGGTCTGATGGTGTGGGAATGATCCCGCGTTGGGGAATGTTCATATGGTATTAATTGGCGGGGGGAAAGAGGAGAGGGAGGAGCTGGAGGCGCGGCTTTTGTAGGAGGCTGTCAGTCTTAAGGAGCAGAAAGGATGATGAGAACAGAAGAGAAGAAAACGACGAGCTGTGATCATAGAAAGTCCGGAGAAAAAAGACCCACTGTTTAAAAGTGAGGATTTAAAACAGAAAAAACTTAATGAGTTCCCTTTTTGACTCATGTTAAGCTGCTAGAGACGAGCCTTAAACGCTTCCTTTCTTATTTAAAGAAAAACCTTTTAAATGCAACGCTGTTTGATATATGAGAAGACCATGGCTGCCGATACGAAGAGTTCACTGAGCAACAATAAAGACCACAGCGGGAGGAAGCTGCTGGTCGCTGTGGATCTATTCTGCTTGTTTCTAGGTAAGCGCAGCTCACCTACATCACTGTTTAGATACATGTCATATGTATACATCTACACATGGACAAACTCATACATGTTTATAAACATATAGATGTACATATGGACAAAAACAGATACATGTTTATAAACATATATATGTTTATAACCAGGTTTATAAACCAGATACATTTTTATAAACGTGTATATATGTTTACAAACCTGGTTATGAACATATATGTTTATAAACATGTATCTGTTTTTGTCCATATGTTCATGTATGTGTTTATAAACATGTATCTGTTTGACCATGTGTACATGTATACATATGACATGTTTATAAACATGTTACATGTACATATGGACAAACAGATACATGTTTATAGACATGTTTATCAACATGTTTATAGATATGTTCATAAACATGTATATTTATAAACATGTTGATAAACATGTCACATAAAAGCGCGGCTGGCAGCCAATATATGGCTTTTAACTCCTATTGCCTGTTTTTTTTAGGAAATCTGTTTGAATTACAATTTTTATGTATTTAATTCGATTTTACTTGAGATACATGTTTGAAAATCACCTGTGTTTGAATATATTTATGCAAGATACCTGCAAGCAAACTGGGGATGTCAATACGATGATAATATCCTGTATTGGTCCGATATTGGCCAAAATCTAATATCGGATTTTGTCTCCCTGTATCTAAAATCTCTGATATTGTTATGCTGGTAGAAACACTGCTTCTGTTTAAAGTTTCTGTAACTATTTTGTCAATATTATGATATATATTCTGTTGTTCTTCTTTACACTGAAAAAATTTATGCAGCCGCTTTTGGTATCTGCTTAATCATATTTAGTAACTTTAACATATATTTTTTTTTTCATGTTAACATGGTAGGACATAAACAATTGTGTTAAAGTAACTAAATATGATTAAGTTGATCCCAAAAAAGTTTTTCAGTGTAATATCACTTATTCAAACATTTTCTAATATTCTACAGTTTGCAATAAGTAATTGAAGCATGTATGATTCGTGCTAAAATCACATTAGGTCAGCATCTGTATTGATCAATTTTCTAAGCAGCAAAATTTGTATTGTTGCGGAAACACCCCCCCCCCCCCCCAATGGGACCGCCAGACAGCTTGGCTCTTGGTCAGTTTACTTAATCGCAAGTGTTTTCTCTTATTATGGTGATAAGCTATAGAAATGCAAAAATCTCATTCGAAATCTTACTTTGTTTACAAATAAATAAATAAAAACATTGTAATGGGGGAGTGGTGGTGTTTAGAGCAGGGGCTTGACCCCTGGGAAGTCTGCAGGCTCTTTGGTTCAAATGAATGTTCCCTTGGCACCACATAGTGAAAGCCCACTGCTCCCTAAGGACAGGGGTTAAAGTCAGGGATGATCTACACTCATGAAAATGATGACTACTTTTTTTTATTTTTATGGTTCTGGTCCCTCTTCATGTTGGTTAACTAAAACAATATGACAGATTAAGACATTGTAATAGAATCCAGGATTGTCAAAGCATATTAAAAGTGTCCGCATCGCAGGATGAAACTGTAGGTACGCAATGTCCCACATGAGAGAAACACCATTTCATAACTCAAAATATTTGGTAAGATTTAACGGAATCTGCAAGGGTATAAACAAAGTGGTGAAATGACAAGCAGCCATCAGGTTATCCAACCAAAGCTTCTCATAGAGTAGTCATGCAAACCCAAACTGATGATGTTTTGTTTTTTGTTGTTGTTTTTTGCTGTTGAACCATATATATATGTATGTATATATTATTATTATTTTTATTTATTTTTTCACAAGTAATATGAAATGAGTTTGATTCAAGTGTCTCATAGCTTTTTTTAAAGTTCTGATTAACCTGCGCTGCATAAAAGAAAAAGTAATTTTTTTTCTTAAAGGGATGTTTTCTTTAAGTTTTGAGCATATACAACACTTTTACAATAGAGTTACCTTTGAAACAAAACAACAAAACAAGTCAATTATCTGAAGTGCATAGCATCTGTTTTTCTTATGTTAAGCAAAAAAAAATTATTTTAATGGCATATCATTCTATTGACCTGAAGATTTATTTTAAGATTTTATTTTTCTAAATTGTTGCTTTTGCAGCATATAAAGCCAATATAGTTGTCAAATTTTATAAGGGCTATGGTAATCCCCTGAGGAATAGAGAAAAAGAGATTTTAACTTTGTGGCCGATAGTTGGAAGTCCCCTAAATCAGACGCCATCAGTGGCTCTGCTCTATGAAGGACCAACTCTGCCATATTTAAAAATAAATACAGAAATAAATAAATGCTCAATAAATGTATAAGCATACAATTAATTGCCAACAAAAAAGTGAGACATAAATGTATATAACTGTTAATTAGCTTCTTTATTTATTTGCCTTTGTAATATTTACCTTATTTATTTTTCTGTCCTTTATAATCTTCAACTTTATTTTTTTTATTACTTATATTTTTAAGTATTTATTTATGTGCATGTTATTATATTTTTGTCTGTTTTATTCTTCCTTTGTATTTTTTTACCTTAGTTATTTCTTCGCCGCTGTTTATTTCTCTCTGCCTTTTTACATTTCTCTATGCATTTCTATCTCATTATGCAAATGAGGAGGGGGTGTGTCCTAGAGAGTCAACTTCTGCTCATTGGTTGGCTTAGCGGCCCATCTTCTTAACTCACAGAGCTCAGAGTACTAAGTTAAACGTTCTCTTTTCTGTTGCTGTTGTTCAATAAAAGTACGTTTTAAGATAATTTGAGGCGAGAACCTTATACTTTTAAGCATCACCATATGACCCATTCACATATTTAATGCGTAATTTAAAAGAAAATGTGACGAACTTGAGAGGACCGCGTTACCAGCGGAGCTCCGAAGCTGACGGCAGCCAGGTCTATAGCCAGGCTATGATGGCGATTTTTTGTTGTATTTGGCAAAGTTTGGCAAAGTCCCTACTCAAGTTCTAATGACTTCAGACTCGACATCAGACTCTCCTCCTGTAGATTCGACCGATGTAGTAAAATGCTAACCAACATGCTTCACACACGGCTATGCCGAGAGAGGGCCGCTGCAGATGGGCTGTGGTCGGACCTGGCTGCCGTCAGCTTCGGAGCTCCGCTGGTGCCGCTGTCCTCTCAAGTTCGTCACATTTTCTTTTAAATTACGCATTAAATCTGTGAATGGGCCATATGGTGATGCTTAAAAGTATAAGGTTCTCGCCTCAAATGATCTTAAAACGTACTTTTATTGAACAACAGCAACAGAAAAGAGAACATTTAACTTAGTACTCTGAGCTCTGTGAGTTAAGAAGATGGACAGCCAAGCCAACCAATGAGCAGAAGTTGACTCTCTAGGACACACCCCCTCCTCATTTGCATAATGAGATAGAAATGCATACAGAAATGTAAAAAGGGCATAGAGAAATGTAAAAAGGGCAGAGAGAAATAAACAGCGGCGAAGAAATAACTAAGGTAAAAAAATACAAAGGAAGAATAAAACAGACAAAAATATAATAACATGCACATAAATAAATACTTAAAAATATAAGTAATTAAAAAATAAAGTTGAAGATTATAAAGGACAGAAAAATAAATAAGGTAAATATTACAAAGGCAAATAAATAAAGAAGCTAATTAACAGTTATATACATTTATGTCTCACTTTTTTGTTGGCAATTAATTGTATGCTTATACATTTATTGAGCATTTATTTATTTCTGTATTTATTTTTAAATATGGCAGAGTTGGTCCTTCATACTGCTCGGCCTTGGAGCAGCTAAAAATTAAAATGTAATCCCACCCAGACCCAGAAATTCATGTTTAACCCACAAGAAAAGCTGTTTTTATGTTTTCCTGAATATCACCCAAGTTCCTGGTGTTCTGTTTCCCTCTGTCTCTGAAATGGGCTGGGTTAGAGGAAACCCACTAATGAACCGCTCCAAGAGGGAAAGTCTACATTTCTCTGCCCTCCACCCACACCTGTATCCATACCAACCTCTGCTTTGACTTCTTCTGTTTTTCCAGAATGGCTTACATTCCTCACAGCTACAGGAATGCTTGTGATGTTAACATCTAGGGGGAGCGTGTGTGGGATTAATTAAAACCAGTGGTTATTTACCGGACCCATGCGCATGTTAAAAGCTCTGTGATGTCCAACACCTGCAGGTAGACTTTATTTTCTAGGCTGAAACTTTATTTTTTATATATAAATAAAAATTTTAAACTCCTCCCTTCATTTGAATTGATTCTTGGTGGAGCCATAGTCCTATAAAGGGTTTGAAATGTCAGTGTAAAGCTATGATTGCAAGCCAGATGTTAGAAATAACTCTATGACAGCTTCCTAGTAAACCCACCAACTGTTAGCAGTCTTGTAAAGAATAAACACACGTTTTTTGGGGGGGTTTTTTGTGTTTGTTTTGTTTGCTTTTTTCTGAAGTGCTCTGTTTAAGTCTTGGCTGGTTTTTCATCTCTGTGGAGGGTCAATCGCCATCATTTAGTTCTGTAAACTTCACAGAGAGAAACTTGTCAACAAACCAGCCGTGTGTTTCTGTCTAAAGATGTAGAGTAAAGAGTCTGACCACAAGGAGGAAACTGTGGGCCACAACTAGTAATCTCCTTCGTCCTTACCCACTAGAGTTATTCCTGCCTCCAAGGATATTATTTGGTTGTTTTATGGAGTTCAGGCTCCTTTCTTGTCTGTAGATAATCAGTGGGAAAAAGAAAAAAACAAAGCAGTTTTCTGGTGGAAAACGTCGGTTTTACTGAGATCTGTCAGGAACTGATCTCTGGTCAGGTGTTCAGGTTCAGTTTACATTAGGTTGCAAAGAGTGGCTATAGTATTTCCTAGCTAATCCTCTGACGTGCAAAGGCACTTAAGCACTAAGTGCACGGCTTTAAGCCAAACATGCACCTGCTGATTTAACCAGACAAATACTAGCAAAAGTCTTCAATCCATTAAACATTTATGAAGTCATTATTTTTGTGTTCAGTGACAGATGTAA